CCCCAAAACCCCAAAACCCCAAAACCCCAAAACCCCATCTTTTAACCTAAAGATTGCTCAATAGAAATTATTAATCTTTATCAGAGGGATAACAAAAATTTGGTGGTCTTCAAGACTACAAACTGAGATATAGTCTCTAATGCATCACTAAATGTATCACTACCAAGATTTATCACACAGAGGGTAAGAAGTCAACTAAGCAATGCACAACCTGAAGAAGCTAAGCTTTCCAAGATGAATATTTCACTTCTTACATATTGAGAAATCTTGAATCTGGTACTTTTTAGTGAGACCAGATTACCTCATCTGGACTTGAGAAATCTAGTCATGACTGCTAAGCAAGAAATTTTACAAATTTTGACCTAGGATTGATTATAATTCTGACAAATCTGTACCTGAAATCTCCTTGGCATATGAGGAACTTTCTTGCTAAAGTATGAGACTTGAGCTTGACTTTTCTTCTGGATGAAATGATTCAAGCTACTAAAGCTGTAATCAAAGCTCACAACTAGTGCGATCATTGTATGTGTCTTCAAAAAGTCTGAGATAGGACTCAGTCTTCACTAATTTATTTGCGTACCAATGTGATAAATACATCCAAATCTGTGGAGTCCTTCTTAACAAGAGACAAGTTATCAGATATGGCTTTATCCCTACGAGTTTGTAGGTGAGAGGCATAACTCTTGACTAGATACTTTGGGCATGACCTCAATAAGTGCCAAGGCCAAGCCTTCACTCTTCTAGAGATGAAGGTTATCATCTCCTTTATTGTAAAGCATCAACATTTTGAATTTCCATGGGAGGAGTTCATTGAAAAACGTATTCGCTTTGGAGTGAGCTCTCAGTTTAAACCAATCGTAAAATTAACTTTGAAAAATACAGACATTAATAATTAGCTTGTAGGGCTGGCACTGTGTCTAACCTCCCAAAATTCCTCTAGCCTAATTCTTGAATCCTCTTTCTGTGGAACCAAGATTATGGATTTGGTCTTTATTTTTGATGAATAATAGTTAGAATCAATCCAAAATTTAAGTGAGTTCAACTGTTTGAGAGATTAGATAAAAAAGAAAGAATGATGGAATATTCACAAATCTTGAAGGACATTTCCTGATTGTGAAATTTTGCATTATGACAGTCTATCATGTGCCAGTTAAAGAATAAGCCATCTCTATCAAATATACCATATTTCAGCTTTGAAATTAGAGATTGGGGTTTTGGGGTTTTGGGGTTTTGGGG